ATGACAGAAACTATCTTTGGATAAAGGATATGTGAAGTGTAATTTAATTGTTTAGTTGGTCTCACGTCGCATTGAATAACATGGGGAAGCGGGGTTTATGACCTATACTAGGACCGGCCACAGGGGGGTGATCGAGACATTTTGGCTTCACTTTTGAGGGCTCGTGCAGCACGCTCGGTCTGAAATCGAATACTTCCCTACTATATAGTATTTGAAAAAAGTACGCGAAAAGGACCCCGGATGACCTCTGGCGAGATTCTGAAGTGCGCATTTGATGGATACTTTACTATCCCATGAGGCCACGGGAGAGGATTTATGAATGCCAGTGAAGCGACGCAACTGACGCTGATAGGTCACATAATAATGACAACATGGCGGATGTAGTGCGTACGAATTACATTTATACTTTTTTAACGGTCGTGAATTAAGTTACGATTACAATGCGGTAACGCAGCATTGCATGCGAAGTATAATCATGTGACATTAACAACAATGAACACTGTACAAATAATGTTTCAGTATGGGGTTAAGAGGATTTTGTGCTTACCTTTTCACAACTCTGTATGTCATGCTCAATACAATGCGATAAGAAGAACCAAACACAAATAGACTTCATACTTAAATTTAAAATTTTATTGTAAAATTGAAAAAAAGAGAGAGAAAGAGAGAAGCCCATTAAGTGTTTCTTTTCAATGCATACATTTTCTAAACATAACCAATAAATAGGCGATTCATAAACAGATTGTTGTCAGGAATAAATAAATAAATAAATAAATAAACGTTCATAAATTAATTGGCAAATCATTAGATGAGTAGGCATAACAGTAAACCAATGTAAGCAGCAAGTATTTGAGAAATGTCAACGGGATGTTTGGTTTCTCAGGCATTTGTCTTGGACGTATCTTCTCTGTCTCAATAAAAGAAAGAAAGAAATCGAACAGAAACACTGTCCATTTCAGTTGTTCATGCTGCACCAATCACATCGCCGGCGCACCTCTCGTTCTCTTTTCTTGGAAAATATCAAACAAACGTTAACAAGGAAACCGAAAAACAACTGTAAACAGCATTGTCTCATCCAGGCTTTAAGAACAGCGCAGGGAGTGCCTGGCTCTCCCACTGCACATCTCACACAGCAAAATCAATACTCTTGATATATATTTCCTTATGCTTTGTGCTGAGAAAACCAGAACTTTAACATGATCTTTATAAAGCAAAAAAAAAAAAAAAAAAAAAAACCCGCCCCACCCCGAAAGCCACCCGCCCACCGACTACTCCCCCATAGAATCTGAGAAATGTGCTGCTGTTCCCTAATATACAGATTTCATATCTATAATAAGCTACTTTCCTTAGCATACAAACCATAGTTAAAGAATCATATCGTTAATATGAGTAGTACCATTATAACACTTTAACCCCCCGAAGCTTTCCCACCCGTTCCCCCCTTGAGCATGCTCACAGATCAAAGTTCGGCATGACGATCTGAGCAACGAAACGTGAACGTGGTTTGAATGAGAAAAAAAAACGCAAGTATGAAATGCTGGTGGTCTGGTTTCTCCAGAAATACCTGTAGTGCATAACGTCCCCCCACCCCCCCCACCCCCCTTGTTTTTCGCGAAACGCAATTTGTATTAACGCCGTCGGTTCACCTTTCAACACATCAAGTTTCATTTTATATGCCTTTCCAATCTCATTTTTTTTTCTTTCAAGCTGTAATGATATCATCCTTCAAACTTATTAAACTTCAGGCACTAGTTGCCATTTTTAATTTGTATTACACTTGCTTTTACATGCAGGCCAAATTTAATTTGATTTTAATAATTCACATCTGGCATGGAGAGATTCTGCGAGGAAGGCCCTTGCAACTTGAGGTTATTAGACCGCCGATGCCTGAGGGCTGCATGTCTGTATATCACCACGTTCTGATATGCCACCACAGGACAGGAGAGGGGAGATGAAATGGAGAGAGTTCAGCAGAAAAAGGCCATTATAACCTGTGAATCGAATGCGATCCATTTCGGAGCGACCTGAGGCTAAAAAACGGCTGTGATATACAGGCGACGTTAATGTTTTCCAGCGAAACTTTATTTCTGACGTCCGGGAGATTAAACATTTAACATACAGATATATTTTTAGGCAAGACAAACAGGTCAAATATCCACAGTGGAAATCAAATGAGGTCAAAACATGTGCTTTTCTGTCCTACCTAAATTCTAGAGATCTCTTTCGGTTTTATTTGTGACTTCGGTCAATATATTACCTTTTCGTTTTGCCATTTCTATGAAGGCAGTGCGGAATTGACAAGTTGGCAATCGGTGAGCGTAGCGTAATGGCGACGTGGATAAAACTGAAAAAAAAAAAAACGTTAGATGCATAGGAAAACCGGAAAATAGTTAAAGACCCCATGAAATTGTTTGGCGAGTTGATGCGTTTCCTTTTGAAACAGGAAGTTGGGGCATGACAACTTGTTTTAAATAGAGTGCCGAAGTTACGACGTCACTCTGTAGGCCAAAACGCGGAAGTGAGTTAGCATTTTAGCACTCCCGGTTCCCTCGCTCTAAAGTCTATGGGATTTTTGAATGGGTTTTTGCTAAATCGCCTGAAATAAGGTCTGTGGTGAACAAAGCCTCTAAATATTTTCACGTTTTGAGCTATGACATAAAACACACAGTTATAATTGTGTCTGCTTGTGTTTTTAAAAAAATTATACAGGCTTCAAAATGTATAATTTTTGGATTAACTTGTAAAGATTATCTTGATAAACAAAACGTGTAAGGGTCACAACTCTTTGTTGAATACAGACTTTATTTTTTGCGATTTTCCAAAAGTCTATGGGGAAAACGCATAGCTTTTCGATCGAGGGAAATCCGAGTTGTCCTATAAAGTGACGTCATCACTTCGGCACTCTATAACCAACCGCCTTTAGTTTACATCCCAGCCACAATTTGCAAAACACTTAACAAAGTATTTTGTCTAATTTTACACTTAAAAAAAAAATCCATCGAGGAGACAAAATAGAAAATTCAAGATGGAATTTAGTCAATCTATATATATTTTTTTAGACATTTATAATATATATTGTACTGTAAATCAATAATAATAATAATAAAACGTCTTTTTCAATGTAGTCAGTTGCAGCAGAATTAGTGGGAGGAGCATTCTGACTCTACAGCATCTGATTGGACAAAAATCGATGAGTCATCAATATTTTTGTCCCATACTAACAAACAGCCACCAATTCTGACTCCGATTTTTGGAGTCAATAATATTTTGGTCCATTTTCCCAGAAGAGTGTAGATGAGGTAACATCAGCCTTTAACATTAACACGCAAACTAAAGCCCCTTTCACACAGAGATTCCGGAAAATACATGGATAATGTGACCCGGCATTTGTCCCGGGATTGTTTGTTTCGGTTCACTCACACTGCCAGTGATTTGCCGGGATCTGTTCACACACAACCCGTAAAGATCCCGGAAAGACACATGACGTCAGGATGAGACGTGTAATGTTTGCGTCGAAAACATGTAAACGCGCATATCGTTCCACAAAGCTGGTGAACGATCTCAGCTTCAGCGTGGATAGTGAGGAGCTCCTGGTCTCTGCCTCGTTCCAGTTTGCAGACATTTGTTCGTCCTTTCTTTGTTGATGACGAACACAAACTTTCTTCTAAAAGCAACAGTCGCGCGATGGCACGAGCGTCATCACTATGACACACCCCTTACGGCATTGGTTCTGGCTTTTGTTCACACAGCGCGCGTTCCGGGACTGATTCGAGCAATGTTACTAGGTCCCCATGCCGGTATCAATCCCGGGTCGTGTTTGCGTTCACACAGAAGGCAATTTCCCGGGATCAACGTGCCGTGTGAAAGGGGCTTAAGCATCACTAAACTCCAATTTTGATTTCACAGGGTCTTTAAAATTCTTGACAAGTGCTTCAGAGTTATGTATATTTGTGGCATCAGCTGCGGTTAAGTACACGATAATGTCAGACTCTGTGGCTTTTTTATTGATGGATCAGTTTGCTCCGACTGTAACCCCCCCATGGATGCTATTTGCAAGCTGTTGGTGAGCTCTTTACAGGCCGCGCGTTAGACCTTTGCAGACAGTTAGTGTCAAGCTAATCCATACCACTCTGAGGAGCATATTCTTCGAAACTAGTTGTCTCACGGCGTTTTCTATATCTTAAACTCATTTATTAGTGAAATGAACTCTAAAGGAATCAATGCGGAATCGATTGTGCAGGTTTCCGAGGCGAAATCTGATTTTTATGTATAAGATGGTCCCTGTAAAATTCTGATGTGCTTCAGAAATAACAAGTTTGTCCCTTCTGTTGGTCTGTTACGAACCTCAACCAGGACATTTTGTGTTAGGGTTTAAGGCTTGGTATCTATGTAACTGCTTGTTCACTTACCAGTGTGCTTTATCAAGTTGATATTCAGCATTTGGCACCAACCGTTTGATGAGTTTGTTCTTGAAAGATGCACGAAAACGGACGATATGAAAGCTCTGCTGGTCCCTCGTAATGGTAAAGTTGGCCGATGCTTTACGAAGTACGATCGTAAACCTGATGAAATCAAACTAGATTCGGCGCACAAAAAAAAAATAATAATAATTGAACATTTCCCATCACTGTCAAGCGTTAACTATATTTTTTCGGATTATTTCCCTGTGCAATGGTACAGCAGTTATATTGCGAATAGTTTGCGTTGAAGCCACATGTACTTATTCTGCTCGATTGGATAAATATGTTAGTTTGTGTACTGAATAACTACCCAAGGTTTCGCTAAACCAGCAACACTTCGCACATGCATATATAGTTACACTCAGCATTTGCTCTCTGGAATGTGGCCTATTTCTGACATCGGAGTAAAGAAAAAGATGATGGATGATGGACCCTTCCCTCCCTCTTTTTTTCATCATGAATGAAAATGACTGAACATGCTCCTAACAATCTCCGATCCACATATTCTACTCCACTAAAATAGTATAGCTTTTAAAATACTTTTTTTCTTCATTTTTTTTCTATTTTGTTTAAATATTCTGAAACCCAGTAGCTATAAATGTAAAAGGAAAAGAAATCAAAATCCCTTTCCTCTTCCGACCTGAAGCGAATATTTATGCTTTTTTTTTTTTTTTAGCTTTTTTTTTTTTACTTATGTCATTAGTAGTAGTTTGTAGTATTAGCATTGTTATTAATACCATATATTTCTGTTGAGGAATAAAAATGTTTGGTCCTTTGGTCCCTTTGGGGTGAAAGATTGATCAGTTTCATTGAGGGCATGAAACCTCAGAATGTCCTGCGTTTGCTGAAACACGGTGACCGGAGAAAAGGAAAGAGGGAAAGAGAAAGAAAGTCCACTAGCGGGACAAGAAGAACTTCTTTTTTTTCCACTGCATTTTTCCTTGGTCTTCAAGTTTAACCCTCATTTGTCCAGTGTGATAAAAGCCATAAGCGCCTCTTCCTTTAAATAGCATATGTGTGTATAATATGTATATAGAAATCGAAGTTGTTCTTGCGGTTTTTTTTCTTTTTTCTTTTTGTTTGTTGCTTGACTGACGGTTCGAAGCTCAGCGAGAGACAGGACGTGTCGAGTTCTCTGTCTTTAGAGAGATCTTCCTCTAGTCTTTCGTGCGCTGTGCCGAGTGTGGTCTGTCCACTGGTGCCGGTTCACCCGCAATCTTTACCGAACATCTCCGTAAAATAAATGCTGATGTCTTCAAAAAAATCCATTCATGTTGTTCTTGTTTGTTTTGAAAGAAAAAGTTAAACTCCTTTTGAGATTTCACTCTTCAAATCCTGTAAACGAAAAGACAATTAGAAATTAATATACAATAAAAGTATATATATATATAAAATAAAAAACTGTGTGTTATTATTATAAATTACTAATTGTAATAATAATAACATTTATAATACTTTAATTTGAGGTATATATATATATATATATATATATACTCAAAGTACTATAATATATACTTCATTTGTTTCATGTTTAATAACAATAACAACTATATATAGCCTACATATTTATTTATTGATTTTAAAATACTATATATATATATATATATATATATATATATATATATATATATATTACATATGCATTCCATTTTATTAAAATATAATATATAGATTATTTAATTATTAGATGTTATATAAATATAAAAACATTTAATAATAGTAATACTACTAATAATAACAAACAAACAAATACACACAGTAATTTCATGAATATTAAATTTTGAATTAATAAAATAGTAATATTTATTTATATTAGGGCTGTCAAACGATTAATCACATCCAAAATAAAAGTTTGTGTTTACATAATATATGCGAGTGCACTGTGTATAATTATTTTATATATATATATAAAAATACACACACATGCTTGTATATATTTAAGAAATATTTTCATGTACTGTATATAGATTTATATATAATTTATATTACATATCAATATAAATATTTTTATACATAAATAATATGTTGTTCTTAACTATACATGCATGTGTGTATTTATATATATATATATATATATATATATAAAATAATTATACACAGTGCATCCACATAAACACAAACTTTTATTTTGGATGTGATTAATTGTGATTAATCGTTTGACATCCCTAATATATATATATATATATATATATATATATGTAATGAAAAGTAATGTTATACAGTATTACTATTACATATATGTAATTGGAATAATCCTTATACAAATTTAATATACTGAATGTTTAATAAATCATTGAAACAAGTCTCAAGTTGATATTTACAGGTCAAATATCGTGCGTCTTCCAGTTAAGAGGGGTACCTGTGCTGTTGCTGAGAGCCCCGTGTGTGGGACGGGCCCTGTCAGTACGGGCGGCTCGCATCCTTCGGCCGTTTTAACTGCACTTTCAACCTCTTCATGCCGATCTGAAAGCCGTTCATGGCCTGGATAGCAGCCTGTGCACTTGCTGGGTTGTCGAAGCTCACGAAGCCTGCAACGAGAACAGACGTGAACCAAGTCGTTCGGATACTAAAACTAAAGAAATAGTAAAACATTCAAATCATCCAAAATAAATTCATCTTTAACTCTGAAATCACCATATATACATCTGCGTGGGCTACTTTTGAGCATATATAAGCCACTGGTGGTATAGAACAGGGACAAATCGCCCCATAGGACTCTGAAACGGGGCCACCCACAGCACACAAAACACATTCGTTCATGACAACCACAGCTTCCCATTTGAAACCATCGACTTAAAAAAAGCAGCATTAAAGCGTGGATGCACCATCAGGAACCGTTCGTGAACCGAGAAAAAAAACAAAAACGGGTGCGTCCATTGGCCATCAGCCACCTGAGAGCAGAGTGGCCTAGGCTCTTAACCGAGTCCGCAAATGCCCCCATTTCGAGGCTTGTATCTATAAGACGAGAGGATCCACATGGAGGTGAAGCGGGGGATAAAGCCACAAGGCTGCTTAATGGGGAATCTATGTATGTCAGTGCTCTCAGCCAAGTCCCTTCGGTCCATCTCGGGCCGCGGCCCCCACCGCAGATTAATTACTCTTCCGAGCGCCTGTTACCCAGACCTGACATTATGCAGTAAATGCATAGTGTATAAGTCAATACGGCAAATAGGTCCTACTTCACAAATTTATATCTTATTAACCTCCCCCAGGAGACGGGAGCTGCTATTAATTGTGGCTTGGGAAATGTCTCCCCCTGGAGCGGGAACAGATGTTGATCCATAATGGGCCTTTTTGCTTCACTTAGGACTTTTTTTTCTGGCTCAGGCTTTGTGGCTTGACATAGAATACAGAATGGATTGTGAAAGGGACAGAGACTGATTATTGGTTGAACTAGGACGTACGCGGAAGCATTAGGCTACTTAATTCAATTAACTTGGAGGAAACTTTTACATTTCTGCAACTTTTTACTGATATCTGGTGCACACATTTGAGAGAAGATCATAAGCCTAGGTTTACTTGTATAGCACATTTGATAGTCTCAGTTTTGCTTTATATCACGTCAGGGCTTGGCGTTTATAATAAATGTAGTTTAAATGAATGCCACTATAGTTTGTTTTATCCATATATTTTCATTCATGTTCCATTCTGAATATAGTTACATTTAAAGTCAAGTCACCTATATTTATATATAGCGATTTTTACAATTCATGTTGTTTCATGGCAGCTTAATACAGGAAAATAATGCAACAAAGTTTGTTTCTAGAAGAAAATAGCATCATAGTTAGGGTTGGGTATCGTTTGAATTTGAACGATTCTGATTCCGATTCGATTCCTTGTTTCGATTCCGGTTCCTAACGATTCTCAATTCCGATTCTTTTAAGAGGCAGGGCCAAAAAAGTTTAGCTAACCTTGCTAACCAAGTCTTTCTGAAGGAAATACTCCTTCTGTCACAAATACTCCTTTTGTCACATTTTTGCATTTTGCCGAGATTTCGTTATTTTTAGAAAAGTGAAGCCACACTTTGGACCGCCGACGTAAGCTACTAATGTTCGACTTGCGTGGTTATGCCAACACTTCCGGTAGACGCTTCTTCGTTGGTGTTGTTCAGCGGTTTCTTCTTCCGCTCGGCGGACTGTGAATATCGAAACTAGGAATCGAAATTTTAACTTTTGAACGATTCCGGGAAAAACGAAAAGTTAGTCCCGGTTCCAATCGATACTCGATTCTCGATACCCAACCCTAATCATAGTCCAGCTTAAGTAAAATCAGTGATGGTTAATTTGTTTTTTGTTAAAAAGTTTCATTTTGTTCATTTTTAAATATAGCCGCTCTGGAGAAAACAGTGATGTCATCGTCCAGCTCAGTTCAGTTCTCATACAATGGTGTCAATGCAGGCAGATCAATAATATTGCTGAATATTAAGTGTCCCCAACTAAGCAAGCCAAAAGCCAAAGCCACCAGCAACAAGGATTTGTTATGCAGTGAGGGAAACTAAAATGCATGTTTATAATAAAAATCCATAATTTCATACACGTATATATAATACATAAATGCAACGTGGAAAGAAAAGCATGCTGATTCGCCTCACCAAAACATTTGCTCTGGTTGGTGGCTCTATCCATGAAGACCTTGGAGGAGATGACTGTCCCAAACGGAAGGAACATCTGCATGAGCTCGTTGTCACCAAATTCCTGCGGTAGATGGTAGATGAAGAGGTTGCAGCCCTCTGGTCCTGCGACACAAACAGGTTGTTAGTCACAGTGAAGTTTCCATTCAAGACAAGTGAGGTTTTTTTAATTTTTTTTAATTTAAGCACTTATATGTAAATCATAGACCTTAGTCAGGGTGGCGCCATATTTAATGTTTGTCAGGAAAGAAAGCGAGACTGTGCGTTCAAAGGGATTGAAGTGCGTTTAACAACATACCGATTGTCCAGCCGACGAAACGCCGTTCTGAAAAAAAAAAATTCAGTAGACAAAAACTCCATGAAATAGTTTGGACGGTTGTGAATCATGAAATGTTTGTTATCTAGGACCTTTGTTCATTGTAAATAATGTGGCTGCATCCGAAATCACAAACCCTATTATGTAGTAGTGCGAAAAACTGTGACAAAAGAAGTATGTCCCAATTCATAAAACAGAAGAACCCGGATGACCTACTATTTCCGGCCTATAAGTGTGGACATGATGGATACTTTACTATTCCATGAGGCCACGGGGGAGGATTTATGAACGCAACTGACGCCGGTAGGTCACGTGTAATGACAACATGGCGGATGTTTCATACGGATTAGAACATACTTTTTGGCAGTCACAAACTTATTACATATTTAAAATAAGTACTGCTCAAGAGTTCTTGCGATTTTGGACGCAGCCTATAGGTATATCTCTCGTAACCTCGTTTTCATCCGGGTTAAATTCAATATGGCGTCTAACCTAACTAAGGTCTATATTGTTCATTTACAGTTCATTCAGTTTGAAAAATTTCAGCAAAATGACTATTCACTCGTCATCATGGATGTCATATTGATGCAGACAAACAAACAAAAAAAAAAAACAAAAAAATCTCTCACCCTCACCTTCTCTCTGCTGCTGCTGTTGAATGACTTGTGGTGGCTGTGGCAAGCTTTGGCCAATAGGGGTCAGTGTGGTCGCTGGGTAGATGGCTGTACGTACAAAGAGAAATTTGTGAGCACACAGCCTGTATTTATGTGATACAGCATTGAACAAGGCTACGAGAGAGAGAGAGAGAGAGAGAGAGAGAGAGAGAGAGAGAGAGAGAGAGAGAGAGAGAGAGAGAGAGAGAGAGAGAGAGAGAGAGAGAGAGAGGGGATCAAACTAACGCATGGCTGGTCAAAAACAACCATCCATTTAAAGTAAGCAGCACAAAAAAATAACAAATCACCCTTAGCATTCGTGTGTGTGTATATATATATATATAGAGAGAGAGAGATATATCAGGGTCGTTCAGTCCATATAAGCTGCTATTGTATATACTAATGGTCTGGAAATAAAACGAAACTATAAAATAATCATGTTGTGTATGATTTGCCACGTGTATTATTAAAAATACACATAACATTATATGTTTTTATTGCGCGCCGGCTCGATCACCTTTCTAGAGTTGTGACATCAGCTATTTCTATATGCAGCGTCATGGCCGATGATTTGCGCTGATAATTATACTGTGCTGGTTTGTTTCATTTTTACAGTTTTTATTTATTCTACGGTAACAACAACATAGTCTGTCATACATGTACCTGTACTCTGTGTGTAAATAATTTCTATAATATGAAGTGACGACAATGAAATTATATTGCGCTATAAAGGTTCAGTGTATGCGTCCCACGTATCATGTGACGGTGACACTATTCCGGTTTATTATTATTATTTATATTTAGTATAAATGTGACTTGTTTAGGTCTATACCAAATAAAAATTAAACAGAAAGTCAATTTAACATTATTTCCATCTAACAAACATTCGAATCATTGGATAAAATATCGAATAATATACTTGGATAATAGTATATTAACACTGATGTATACCGTAGCGATCAAAATATACAGTATACAATATTTAACATGTAACATATTACATTGTTACACCAGTAGGTGTCGACAAATAACTGTTAAAAATGTATTTTAATTTAATTATTTATTCAAGAAATTCGTTCAAAACGCTCATTCGTTCAAAAAGACAGACCTATTGTAACTATCCAAGGTTGTTAATTGATAGTCTTTGTATTTGTTAAAGTCGTCAATTCGCATCTACTTATATTTTGATTCATTCTACTTGTAATAATAATTAGCCTATATATTACTTATAGGCTACTAATATTTAATATATTATTGGTAAAAAAATACTAGATAGGAGTGTTTCTGCCGATGCACCGTGCCGTTTTAAAGGTGCGATACTAGTGACACCTAGTGGAATTACAACAACATATTTAGCAAACACCCCTTTCGCACGCCGTTCCTCCCTTAACTCGGACATCACAATCACAGCTCTTACGGGTACTTGTGATGGGTTAATGCAGGCTACTTTCAATAAAACATTAAGATTACTTTAAGCTATGCTGCTATGTGTCATGAGAGTAAGCAACTTAGAAGCGAACACTCTTGTCTAGAGCGAACGCGAACATTTCATTTATTATAAACCCATCCAACATATCTGAATTGGGTGCTTCTTTTTTTTATGACTCACCACACAGGATACCTGGTTAAAAAGTCACCGCTCTCCACTGATAGCCAAAAGTTCACCTGTATATTGCTGCACCCCGGTGAAGGCCTGCTGTAGGGTGTCCGCAGCTGTGGGGCTTTGGGTGGAGTAAGAGGGCAGTCCGTTGGTGTACATGGCCTCGACCGCTGGGTGTCCATTGGGCTGGTGAGGGATGCTGGTGAAGCCGTTGACGATAGGAGTGACGATGCTGGGGACGGCTGATGTGGTGATGTTGGCAGGTGGTGAGCTGAGGCCTGGAGCCAGGGAAACAAACATAGACAGCACATTTTAGGTCAGTACAGCTACCAAAGAAAGTGTACAAAACATCTGCAATTTCACATTAAAACATAAAGGTATATACACATTTTTAAATGCTGTCGATGTGGGATGAGGTCATGTAAAGCATTCTCTTTTAGCCATTTAGCTTTGAGGCTAATGCTATTTTACTGATAAACAATCCCCAAATTCATTCGTAACACACACAGACACACACTCTGTCTGTCTGTCTGTCTGTCTGTCTGTCTGTCTGTCTGTCTGTCTATCTATCTATCTATTTATCTATCTATCTATCTATCTATCTATCTATCTATCTATCTATCTGTCTGTCTGTCTGTCTGTCTGTCTGTCTATCTATTTATCTGTCTGTTTGTCTATCTGTCTGTTTATCTATCTATCTATCTATCTATCTATCTATCTATCTATCTATCTATCTATCTATCTGTCTGTCTGTCTGTCTGTCTGTCTGTCTGTCTGTCTGTCTGTCTGTCTGTCTATCTATCTGTCTATTTATCTGTCTGTTTGTCTATCTTTCTGTCTGTTTATCTATCTATCTATCTATCTATCTATCTATCTATCTATCTATCTATCTATCTATCTGTCTGTCTGTCTGTCTGTCTGTCTGTCTGTCTGTCTGTCTGTCTGTCTGTACACACACACACACACAGTGAATTTCATTAACAATATAGGAGTAAGGTTCAAGGTTAATTGAAAGTAAAAGTATATTCTTTTATATTATATATAAATTAATTGTTCAATTATCGTGTATTTATAATAATATTATTTATTTAGAATCTATTTATAATGTGTATATTTAATTATATATTATAGATAAGATACAGATACAGTATTACTTATACAAAGTAATTATAAAGTTTTAAAAAAAAACTCATTAAAAAGTCATTAACAATCATCATTAGACTATATTATGCTGAATTAATGTCCATGAAAACTAATGGAAATGGCATTGAAGTTTGATTAATATATCAAACTTTATATATAGATGAATATAGATGAAGTGCTGAGCTGTCAATCATTCTCACACACAAAAATATTTTGCGACCTATCAGCGAAAGAATCCTTTAATAGACCCTTGCTAGCACAGGGTCGGTGTTTGATCCCAAGCTGTGGCTGTGCGCATCGTTACAAAACAGTTCCCATAGGATACCATTTCAATCTGGATCCGCGGACAATGCTGGAGGATGGTCGTCATGGAAACCCCCAGCATGCCTCAATTACAATGTGACGAAAGAGCCTATAGGAAAGTCTTTACAGAAATATGACCGAGCTGATGGATTCGAACAGGCCGTAGTGCCGTTCACTTACAGTATGACAGAGTGTGAACCAAGCTCTTATTGAACAGAGAGGTACCCAAAACTGCACTCAAGCCTCCCACCGCTGTAACCTGGGGGAATTCCAGTGGGCCGAGGAGAGCTGTTCACTCTCGTTTGTGCCATTTCCTGTTCTTAAGCTTTTCGCGATTGTTTTCTTCCCACACAGCACATTGATAAATTAGATGACGCCTCTGCCCCATTCTTCCCAAAGCCCAGGAGATCGGGTGCGCTAGGGGATGTCCGACAGGCAGCTTCAGCCCAACAGACCACACGTGCGGGCCGAGCGGCAGCTGCGTGCTGTTATAATGTTGGGAATCTATCATTGTGATGTGACACTTTCGAAAAGCTGAACGCTGACGGGAGGATCTAGCCCGCAGGAAGGGTTAGGAAACAGACTGAGCTAGTCACCGAAACTCAGATCATGTTCTGGTTGAAGAACAAGACTTCAATAGGCATCAAAAAAAGCTAGCAAGACCAGAAAAAATGATACAACTAGAGTGATACGAATAGAGTTAGCTCTGAAAAAAATGGATGATCTCATACAGAGAGTGTTGTTGAATTCCACTGCACTGCTTTTCAATTGTTCTCTATGTAAACATGTGCTATACAGACATGTTTGCTGCATTTATTTCTACATTTTTGTGCATGATACAGATGAAAACATGATTAAAAACATTATTCTCAATTTACTTAAAGTTATGAAGAAAAATCTTTGCATTTTTCCACACAAATAAAGCGATTGAGTTCAGTAAAGTTTGATGTTAGCATGTTGCTAAGCTAACAAAGACAACTAGATTGAGCTATTTTTACTATTACTTTTTGGCACTGAATAAAATGTATATTCAAGTTCTATGGATGATTTAAGTTTGTTTTCCCATAATGTTTTCCTAACCTCTATGTTCTGATATATTTTAACCTGCTGTACAGACAAATAATTCGATGTTAGCAAGTTATCAAACCAAAACAATTGAACCCTCTGGTGCTATGGTCAAAAACAACAGATTATTATTTTTTTTTTCAATGAAATGAATGTATTATATTTTAGTTCGATAATATTTTTATTTTTAAGGGGATTTTATGGTACACAATTAACACTGTCAGAAAAAAAGGTATACGAAAGCTGTCACTGGGGCGGTACCTTTTCAAAAAGGTACACTTTTGTACCAAAAGGGTGCATATTGTACCATGAAGGTACCAATATGCACCCTTTAGGTACAAAAGTGTACCATGAAGGTACCAATATGCACCCTTTAGGTACAAAAGTGTACCATGAAGGTACCAATGTGCACCCTTTAGGTACAAAAGTGTACCTTTTGAAAAGGTACCACCCCAGTGACAGCTTTCGTACCTTTTTTTCTGACAGAACATAAACTTTAATGCATTTTGAATGCTTTGGAGCACAGACTTCAGTTAGGTCTCTTTTTAAAGACAACACATGGCAGATTATTGCTGAAGTGAAAAAAGTTTGAAAAATTGAACCAAAAATGCACAAAATTTTCAATTTTTGTTAAAAAAGATAGCTATTTTTAACAGTTATACTTTTTGGTATTGAATTAAATATACATTTAATGTGTACCATTTATAGATTTATAGATAATAGATTTCCTTTAGGTTAGGGAACGTTCCCATAACGTTCTCCTAAACACTATATTCCGATATATTTAACCTGCTGTAGGCCTATGTCATGTCTTGTTTGTAGGCTATTATTCACACAAATATTCTGTGGTTTTAAATCTGTCAGACATAAAGTGGGAAACCTTTCTGGAATTTACTCATTGGCCTATAAAAATATGCAAAAATGATGAGTAACATACACAAGTTGAATAAACTGTATTAAACTAGTATTTCTCTCACTATATCCACCATTAAAGGCATATTGGGACTGTGTGTCATAAAAAAAAAAGTACACTATGTGACTAGGTTTTGGAACAGAGCTAATGTTCATAATGTTTTTAAAACTGTGTCAATCAGGTAAATCAGTTTATATTCTATAATGTAAACATTTTTACACGTAATTCACAAATCTAAAGAATCAATAGGCAATCTTAGTGTGGGACCAAATACGCACTGTATCATCCTTCTCTTTGTGGTTCTGTGTGCTAGAAATTTGTTCCAGATGGAGTCTGTTTTGGCATCCAATTCCAAAAGTCCAGAATGAATCCTTCTGTTATTAAACAAATCTTTTATCTGTCACACCCATTAGTATGTTGAGCACCACGAGATGTAGAGTATTCTGCAAATACTGTTATTTTGTGTTAGGGAAGTGTAATTGGATTTACATTACTGCAATCTGCCCTCGGTGCATCATGCTGATTTTCACCCGATGGTGACTACAATGAGGAACAGCTTACCATATGCACCAAAAGGATTTATTATGCAAATTATACACTGAAATCAACAAGGAACGCTGGAACCGTATCGGTAAGCACTGCAGCCAAACCAATCACAATAACTAACTCCCATTACATCCACATTTTTTTTTTACACAGAGGCTGGCTTATGTTTATTTACTCCTGTAGAGGTTTGCTCTGGTGTAATGCAACACAGTGAGAATATTTGGTTTCACTTTATTTTGATGGTATTTTGATGAAAAAACTTTTGCTGATAATTTACTCACCCCGATGTCATCCAAGATGTCCATGTCTTTCTTTCTTCAGTCGAAAAGAAATGAAGGTTTTTGATGAAAACATTCCAGGATTTTCTCCATATAATGGACTTCATTGGGAACCAAACGGTTCAAGGTCCAAATGAGAGTTTCAGTGCAGCTTCAAAGGGCTTTAAACGACACCAGACGATGAATAAGGGTCTTATCTAGAACCCTTCGAGTCATGACTCGAAAAAAGATTTGAAAAAAGGTTCGAACAGGAGAGTCACGAACGCTCATCCCAGAACAGAGCAAGGCGAGCATTTGTGCTTATAAAACTTAAACTTTTTTATTTTTTAAATGACGGATCGTTTCGCTAGATAAGACCCTTATTCATTGTCTGGTGTCGTTTAAAGCCGTTTGAAGCTGCACTGAAACTGTCTTTTGGACCTTGAACCATTTGGTTCCCATTGAAGTCCATTATATGGAGAAAATCCTGGAATGTTTTCATCAAAAACCTTCATTTCTTTTCGACTGAAGAAAGAAAGACGTGGACATCTTGGATGACATGGGGGTGAGTAAATTATCAGAAAGTTTTTTTAAAAGTGAACTACTCCTTTAACACATTCTGTTGACTAAAATAATAGTTGCAGCTACATATCTACTAACTCATTAGTAAAGTAAAGTGTTAGTAAAGTACTAGTAGACTGGTAGAATAAGTTGACATGTAGTTGCAAAGTTACTTACACTCAACAGTGTTCAAAATGGAACCAAAATAAAGTGTTACCGAATATTTATGCTAGTTTACATATGTGGCAGTTTCACAAAATAGGCTACACCTATAAACTTGACCACAATAGTCTCGTTTATGACATTTTTAACTAAAAATCAAAGTGCTTCTATGTTCCTTTCGTTCCCCATTCACTCCCAAAGAGCAGCATGAACATTCTGCTAAACGTCTCATTTTGTGTTCAACGGGGAAAAACTGACACCACTCGGAAGTTTTTCCTCACATTTGGAGACAGAAAAATGGCAATACCAAAATAAATATATATCAGTT